TCAAATGTTTGCAATTATACATAACTATATCAATTGGGCCTACATTGCTGTTTGGTAATTGTTTCTTACCGATGCTTTGTACTTAAATATTTTAGATGTAAATTCTAAAAGACAATATATTCAGGAAAATCTTCCAACAAGTGGGATAATAACTAAAACAGTTTCTCTCATATGTCCAAATTTAACTTTATATGACACTGTCATGAATMGACCAGAAACATTTTCCAGTGGAACAAAGTCTATAGAGTCAGTTTCTGGTGACCATACTTCAAGTGGAGAAGGGTACCATTTTCTTTGTGGATGTTGCTTCAAGAGTGCAACTTCAGCCATCATGTTCAYTACTTTTTTCCTTTTACCATTAAGTTCCAGTATTGCTTCATTTGATATGAAGCGTCTTACTCTTGCTGGTTTTAMACTGCCATCAGAAGATTTAACAAAAACACCAGTTGACGAACAAGTTTCAATTGCTCTGTTCTTGAACATGATTCTTCGAGAGGACTCTGAAATCCTCAATATATTACTGATTATATGCCCAGGATACATAACCTTGTAAGCTTGGCTGAGGCGAGCAACATCTTCGTTGTCAATACTAATGCGTTTTATTGGTGGTAGATGAACAAATAAACTGTCTTCAGCATTTCTCACACCCATTTCGCCAACAGTGCCAACCTCATGCGACACAAGAAGATTACCAAAATACTTWAGCTCTTCTGGCCAATCCATTTGTTGAAGTTGTGTATTTCTTATAAATTTTCTCATAAGTTGAACACCTTYTAATAAAATAATAATACATGCATTGAATCATCAGTCAAGTAATAAAAAAGAAAAATATATTTCAAATCTTAAGAGTGCATAGCTTTCTCTTGCATTAACTATGCAAATCATTCTAGCCACTGAGAAACTGGTGACTACTATATAAAGGCCACTGSACATTGAGTTTAATAAATAATGAAGTCAACATAATTACCCACCTATGTTCTGACTGCCTTTAGGATATGACCCAAGCACACCATTGTATCTCTCAAATGAAAAGCATCAGAAGGAGTATACTGGGCCATAATCCCTAATACATTCAACCAAATGGCAACTTAAATGCATATTTGGAGTACAGGTTTCTTTACCATACAACTTTTGAAAACCTTGGCAGAACTCTACTATTTTTATGTGAGCCAGTGAGCAGTGTTCTTCATTGATGGTTTTAGAACAGATCAAACGGCATTCATCAACAAAATCAGTCCAGACTTTATAATGCTTGTTTGGTAGAATAC